CTCTCTCTCTCTCTCTCTCTCTCTCTCTCTCTCTCTCTCTCTCTCTCTCTCTCTCTCTCTCTCTCTCTCTCTCTCTCTCTCTCTCTCTCCATCCGCGTAGCCTTATATGCATTGATATATTTTGTAATGTTCCAACAACATGGTGCGAATGCAAATTGGTAACCATATGTGCAACAATGAAGTCTAGGCAGGTGTGGGCTAGTGCGGGCGGGTGTGGGCGGGTGCACATGAGGTTTAATTAGGTGATGGGTGCGGGCAGGTCTGGGTGCGTTCACAAGTTGGGGCGGGTCTGGGTGAGGCTTTATTTTGGGTATTGGGCGGGTTGGGCGACGGTAGGAGATTTTGAAAAATAACTGGGCAGGCTGGGTCAAGGTGAGGCAAAAAGAAAAATGGTGGGCGAGGGTGGGTCAAATTAGAAAATAATTGCGCGGGTCAAGCATAGGTGAAGGTAAAACAAAAAATGCTGACCTCTGGGAAAAACCAACGAGGAGGGTAAGGTAAGAAGAGCAAATCTGCAGGCACTCACCAGTGCAAGCAAGGGATGGCCTTGCGGGGGTAACCCACACATCTACCCAACCAACTGGTTGAGGTAAGGCTGTTTCCTTTCTGATGTGCCTCATGGTGATGCTATGCCTGACCTGTCCACGCATTACAGCACATGATAGAAATGAAATGAACCAAGTTCTCATCAAGTTTTATCTCGCCTACATCAATGAACATTCACACGGGAGTTCACACATGAGAAGCCGAGGCTGAGATACAAGCAACACATGTGGAAGCCATCACCAAAATTATCATTATTATACAAAGCAATGTTTATGTCTCCAGCAGCTCTGCCGCACACACACACACTCAGAATTGATCTCAACCGGATGACGGCTATGGCATCTCTCTCTGACTTGGCTCACGCCGCCTCACCCTCGGTCTCTCCCCTAGATTGTAACCCTGGATACACCCACTTAGGCAAACTTCACACCTGGCGTCTATGGCCGCCCTCCTTCCTATCTCCCTCTACCGTATCTATGAAGTAACTCTCAAGCGCCCCCTTCCTCCTTCAGGCGCGAAGTACCCAAGTCGCCTTAACGCAAAAGCAGCAGCAGCACTTCCGCATCTTGCAATTGAACAAGAGATGAGCTTCTGCACTGTAGCAGCTAAATATAGGACGTGATTTGGCTTGGCCTTCTTCAGACCGGTACTGGTCAGCCGCGGCCTGTCTGCTGCAATCGTTTTGTCGGTTGTTTCCGGACTTTCCTGGGACATGCAGCAAAATTGGACTTGGGGCTGTTGGACTGGACTGGACTTTTCTTGTCGGGTGCCGGACGGATTTCTACTGACGTACAATGTTTCAGTACCGACACCTACCGACCTACGACGCTTCGGTCTTTGGACCCTACGACGTACCCTATTGGGACAGTCTGGGACTGGGACGTTTTGGGACCCTGGAACTGGAACTCGAGATGTCTACAGTGTGAATCCTTTCACTCCCGCTAACCTAATTTCGAGGTCCTCCTAGAAAATTCCATCTTTATCGGTCATACATGTTCATTCCCTCTGGGCCCTTTCATAAAAGGAGACAATGTGAGGGCCTATCTATATTAGTTCCGCCCTAGCGAACCAGCGGTCTTCGCTGGGTTCTTGATAGGGGAGCCTAGCCTTGTACTGCCTCTGTGGTCACCCTCTGCGGCCTGTACGGAAGACATCTTTGGCCATTATTTTGTCTGCATCAGAACCTCCGTCCATGTCAGGTGGGAAGTAACTTAGACGCTTGGACTACCGGGTTATGTGTGCAGGTCGGGTGAAATCTCGAGAGTGAAGGATGAACCATCTGCCTCTCCGTTGACATCTAACACTTGCCATGATCCCCTCCGGAACGAACTCCTTAGACTTACCCAGACCAAATTGCGACGGATGTCGGTGCTTGTTGGCCTGCTCTACCATCCGCTGTTGGGCCTTAAAGGATGTTCTTCGTCACGTTGTCGCGCCCCCGCCACTTCCAAGGTCAGGTTCGGTGTCCCTCCTATGGCCGAGTGCAGTGGGTTGGTGTACCGGCAGGGTGTCACGCTGGATTTTATTAAGTAAATGTATAATATAAATTGGTGTCCAACTCACTCTCTAATTGATATGGTAGAGTAGATAGCATCATCCCTCCTGTCGACGGCGACAATACTTAGAGAGAGGCGTTCGGTTTTGTTGCCTGACCCCGTGTAAAATTCAGACTCAAGTCATTGGAGTCCCTGCTCAGGAAGTCCTTGGATGACCTGAAGTGTGACCTAGAAATAAAGGAGTGGAGAAAGTAACAATTCATGCCATACATCACAAGACAAAAGACATGTGCAAGATGACGAGAACAGAAGCTAGACTCTGCAAGACCATGAGACTGAAGAGTAGTATTCAAGGAATGTCCGGAGCAGCCATTGGAGGGCTGCGATCACAAAAAAATTATAATAATAATAGACCTCGTCATCGAAAGGATTGATCTCAATTGTACTTCCCGTGCGCGGGTTTGCGGCACATGTGGCGAAGAGTGCACGTGCATGCATGTGCGCGCATGTGATGCAGCGCACCACAAAAAATAAAATTAAAATTAAAATTGGAAGAACAGGGTGGGGTGGCCAAACATGCTCCTCGCTTCTAAAAATCAGAAAGCAAGAGGGAAAAAAGTTGGGGCCACGCCATACCCCGAAACTGTAGGCACATGTCTGTGCGTGTGGGTGTGCATGTCCTAATTGTGTCCAGTCTCTTTTCCGAAGGGCCCCTACAACGAATTAGCGAGGACCCCACGCAGAGCAGAGATAGACTTTAAACCTTCCAATTTGTATGCATGGATCGATAATATATAGTCTGGAGTCGAACTTCAGGTATGTGCATCCCGGTTATGGGTCACTAATTCTCTTTTTTCTCGTTTTTCTTTTCTTAGGAAGACGTGCAGTGGCTGTAACGGCCTCTATTCACCACATGAACAAAAAACAAAACATATGGCGACATATTATTCCACGTTCTAGCAGAAGATTCATTCTAATTTTGCACATTTGGTGGGTAGTGCAGCCAAACCAAGAGAATCATGTGCTGAGACCAACAGGGCCCAGCTAAGTGAGCAACCCATAACTGCTGAAACACAGACCTGAATTTGAATCCTCAGTATATATTCGGCCAGCTCGTGCTTCACTTCATATTCACTGCCTGCCTCGATTTTGGTGGAAGGTCCGCGTTAAATTGTTGCGAGGACCCTTCAGATTACCTGCATGGGCCCTCTGATACGTATGAAGGGGATCCATTGCTCACTCTCTCTCTCTCTCTCTCTCTCTCTCTCTCTCTCTCTCTCTCTCTCTCTCTCTCTCTCTCTCTCCCCCCCCCCTCTCTCTCCCCCCCCCCTGTATACACACACACACCAGCGCATCACTAATTTGCACATGGCGCACACACACCGCACAACACAGCGCAAGTATGATCTCAGTCAGTAATCACAAGTGGTACCCCCCCGTGAGTCAGCTCAACCATTCGGGACTCCATCTCTGGTACTTGCTGCTCCTCCTCGGCATTGAGGACCTTGGTCGCAATCGACCCTGGGACCACATAGATGATGTCCAATGAAGTTGTCAGGTTGATCTTCAGAATATAGGTCATGCATCTGGCCATCTCATCATCTGCTACGCTCCTAAGATATAACTCCTCAACCAAGGGAATATTCCCAGTCGCTCCAATCAAGATCTCCACTCATCCCTTGCCATAGATGTAGTTATAGGATACCTCAAGGAAACAGTCACCGCAGAGTGGCTTTCAAAAAGTTGTTATAACTAAATCAGCACTAACAAGATGGTTGTATCCATCTCCAAGATAAAGAACCAGTCCTTCCCCTCAGGAGGGGCCTGCTAGCTCCTCTGACTTGGGCTCGCTTGACATACGAAAATACTACCAATCCCACTCAAGTAGGTAATGTGTCAAAAGATACGCAATCCGCCATAGCACTGTCCTCCGTTTGCGCCTTGTTCCGGTATCCAGTGCCAGAACACGCACACGATCCACTCAAGTCCAAATAAACTTAGTCTCTATGAGTATCCAAGTCAAATTAATCTCCGAGGTCAACTTCGCTCACACAGCAAGGTTCCTGGTTCAACTCATTGGTCTCGGATCTTATGGGGATCCCAGATCTGACTACCTCGCCCTTGATTCGTCTGTCCTTACGCCTCTTGTCTTTGCTGCCGCCCTTGCTGAGGGGTTTCAGATTACAGCCATCGAAATCGAAAAGAGCACCGCCGGGTGCATAAGGGACGTGAGGGAACACCACATGTAGCAATGACTCCTCCAATAACTCTCCCTGCGAAAGATGTAATCAGCAGTCCGGTCGTAAGTAGCGCCCTTCACCTCCTGCTCTGCCCCTCTCACACAGTAAGTGATTACCAATGTGTGCCTAGAGCTTTGGGACTCTTTTTTTTTTTTTTTTTTTTTTTTTAAAGGCCCCATGTGCAAGGCCTCTATCCTGGTGG